ATCCTCATCCGCAAAGCCACAACCACGACAAAAGCAATTTTACGGTAGGCCCAGACTCATAGTATGTCTTCCTAGTACGCAGTGACTTGTCAGTACCGTTACCGTAGTACTGAGCAGGTTACACCTTAGTTGAAGCTGTCGACTGTTACGTTTTTGGTCTAGCTTAGACCGGGATTAACTATAAGCACACGTGACAGACTATTATTATTTACCACAGACTACCACCACTGTTGGAACGACATGTATTCCGCTTACAATTACAAGAACAATTAGTTCCTTTTTTTTTTAACTTTTATCCATCGTGAAGATATATTTTGAAAAGTTTGACACAATGCACAATTTAAAGGGGCTAAAGGGGGGTTTTAAAGGGGGAAATTGTAGTTGGAAAAATAGCAGTTTAATAATATATTGTCAAAAAGTAACAACAAATTCAAAATTTTTCTTTCTACCATATATTAGGCGCAAAATTTTTCAAACATCCCTCGTATATTTATATGATTTATTTATTTCATACAATTTATTTTTAATTCTCTAACTGAATATTCTCTCGCTAATCGCAATAATATAAAATTATAAACTAGTACATTTTTTGCTGAGGTCTAGGGTTAGTGCCGTAGGTGCCTTTTTGGCGGCACCTGCTACCAAAATTAAAGTTCATTCGACTGACACTAAGCCATTTGTTGTACACCTAAAAAAAAGTGAGTGATTAAGGCTTGACTGACCTGAACGCTGTAGTGTTTAGGTGATTAAGCACGAACATAATTTTCTAGGATTTAGTGATTGGTACATAACTTAAAGTGGTTAATATCCAATTAAGACTCAGTGTAGACAGTTAAAGCAACTGGTTGATTGCATGAATGTTTCCATTTGAAGTGAGAATTGCTTTGAACTGTTTGCTGCTCTTGTGTTTGCTGTGTCAGTCAGTGTACACCTTTAGTGTTTGACATGGAGCTGCCGTTCTCTTATGCATAAATATTTACATATTTGCTTAAGCAAAATAATTAAATATGGTAAATAATGATATTGAGAATTTAAAGATAACTTTTTATTGTTCTTTTACCAAAGTTATGAGTAGTAAATTGTAAAAATAATTTCTACTTCTTCTATATATTCAGTACTAACCAAACCAGTATGGAGTTTAAGATATTCGTATAGAACTAAAGTCAATGGATTTGTGACTTGAATTTCTCTATCTGATCAATTCCATATTAAATGATAAAAGGCAACAGAAAAGAAATAATTGGCATAACATAACAGATTGATAAGAATTGAAACGGTCGGGAACGATTTTTAAAAAAATAGTTGAGTACGAAAATACAAAAAATATGAATTTAAATAAAAATAAAATGATAGCTTAATATATCAGCAATATTGCAACCCAGCATCAGTGTTTCAATCCAATATATTAATATTTGCTAACTATGATTATTTGCATTGAAACAAATATTCATTGGTGATCATTGATGCTTGTTGGGCATTAAATTAATTAATTTAGATTATAAAAAAAATTATTTTTAGTAATAAAAATATTCTTTACTGAATAAGCGTATGCAGATATATCTCTGTCAAGTATTGACTAATGATCCTAATACATCAGCATGACTTTGTTTACTTCAAATACTTTATTGGAACTAATTTTATTGTATATAAATATATTAAAACTACTGCAAAATGTTAAGAAAATATCTATCTCTAAACATTGGTGTTATCAGAGGGATTAAATTATGAGATCATCACTTTTTTTATCAGGCACTATAGTGTTTCAGAGAATTCTGAAGGTATCTCTAAGCTTTAATCTGCCTTAGTGCTTTGGGGGTCTTTAATTGGATAGACTGAATTACGTGTATAGTTGCAAATAAATATGATACAAATTATGAAGTATTCATGGAATCTTATTTATAGAGATGTTGTGGATATTAGTTTTTATTACATCTAATTAATTTACTTTAAAAGTAGTTTGCTAAGTAGTTTATTACTCATACTTAATTTTTATATGTTAATTATGAATTTTATATCGTTTATAATATTTTTAAGTATTTTGCATAATTTTAGGTAACTAAATAATATTTAAAGTTTTTATTTATATATTCTTGTCTAAACCAATTATAACAGCGAACCTAAAAAAAGGCGGATTATATTTTTGGGTCTAATCATTTTAATTGTGTTTAAATTAAAAGAAATTTGAATTAATTCCTATAAATATATACATTAGTTTAAATAAAATAAAATTAATTAAATTTATGTTAGGTTAAAAATAATTTGTATTAATTATACGATATATTTTAATTTAATTTTATTTACTTCCAAAGTATCTTTTGTAACTACGAAAAATTTTTTTTCGTAGTTTTTGTATTAAGAAATATTATATTTGAAACAATGAAATAACATATATAATGTTTATGGTTTATACAAGTTAGATATCTTCAGCAAGTTATATATGTCTTTCCAGATTATTTCAATACTTATAGAATGCGTTTTTTAACATAAGTATTCGTTTGATTTAGAAGCCCTTCATTTACTGTTTATTACATTATAACTATCACTTATATTCGTTTATCGTTACTATATATCACAAAAGAATGTAGAGATTTCTACTTTTGGTGGTAAAGAATGGGATTTTGGGTTTAACATTCACTTATTTGAAATTTATTAGTTTGCATTCATGTAGTTCAGTGATTCTCAACTGGTTGTCCGCAAACCACAGCTGGTTGGCGAGATGATTAAAAATGGTCTATGAATAAAATTAAATAGGTATGAATACATAGGTTGTAGTTTGTCCACCAAGACCTCACTTCTTAGAAAATAAGCACAAAAAATTTCCAAGCAATTATATTCATATGCACTTATACAATTCAATGTACATCATACCAGAGATGCATAAAGGATATTAAAATAATCATACAATTTATTATTTTAAAATTTTATGGTCCTTAGTAAAAAACAATAATATGGTAGTGTTCAAAAAAATGTTATGATAATTAATTACTACATTAATACGTTCAACATATAATACGTACTAAATCTCAATAGTTATTGTACGTAATATTCTATGCCGTAGAGGCTTAACACTACGGTGTTCAAAAACACGGATATTGATATAAGGCATCAATTAAATTCCAATTGGATATTCAAGAATATCCGCTGGTGCCAAATGAAGAAATGTATGCAAGACATAACTTTCACCTTGGTGTGATGTGAGGCCGATCCTAAACTTCTGCTGATCTTTGGGTATAAGCTCCCGGTGATGAATATGCTCTTCACGGCGAATGAATAATAAAACAATACCTCAATCATTCTACCCGCGTAAGTTTGGGTATTGACTACAGCCCCTTCGAATCCAACCACAAGTGGCCAGCACAGCCGGAACTTGCGACACTGGTCAAGTGTCTGTATGTTCAAAAATTCACTCATTCAGTTTATTTCTACCTATTGGCGGAACGTACTCAGTAAGAATAATCTAATCTTTGTATTATTTATTTAATTTATTTCAGATTTTGTTCCAGACCATCTGAATCCGTTAAGAGATGCATATGTATAGCGTTTTTAAATTTCGCACATAAACCTATCTAACTCTTAAACAAATAATTATAACAATAATAATAATAAATCACTTATATATAACATTGTACGGTGTTATATAGAAAAAAACACTTGTGCAATTATTAATATAATATTGCCGGCAAACAAAATTCTTTTATCAAATGTTTATTGATAATTTTGTTTTTTTAAGAACATATGTATAATTGTTTAAAAAATTGTCAATTTATTTAAAAACTAAGTAATATTAAACACAATTTTGTATATTTTTAAAAACAAAAAATTATATGATGATGTCGATGACACATACCTGCGCCTTCTTATTGTTATATACGATGTATCAAATGTTTATATATATATATGTATATTACTATATTTTTATTATTTTTGATTTGTAATTATTGTTAAATTTTTTAAATAATACGAATTTGTTGTAATAAAATGATATTGTAATATTGACTTTATGAGTCCTGTACTCTACTTAAGAAGTTCATAAACTTGGATGGATACCACAACCACAATCATAAATGACCAAACAATTAAACTAGTTATTGTATATATCTAGATTACCTAAATCACAATTGCATTAGTTTTGCCAAAAATAAATAAATCAAAATTGTTGGATGGCAACATAACTTTTTTGATTACTTTCACATTGACGTATTTTAAAACATCCGATTAATAGCCTGTATTATCAATATCCGACCCCCAAATGATCAATTCACCATGAGGATTTGTTTTTGTGCCATCTGTTGACAAATCAACTGTGGTAATAGTCTCTCTAATTAGTGAGGAAATTCATTCAGACATAACGATATCCATACTCCATATTTCGTAATATAAAACACTATATTATCGTTATCATTGCTACACTGGTTAAAACTTCACCATCATTTAAGACCCCTGCATCAGCTCATACTTGCAGATCAGAAGCATTCCTACTATTAACGTCTACAAAATCAATAAAAATAATTGAGCTATGAAGGGTGCTTGAGAAATTACTATTGCTGTGCCACCGATAGTTTTAATAAACTTGTCTTCAAAGTGTAAAATACAAAAAATCGTTAAAATGTTAGAATCGTTAACTTCATTATAAAGAAGTAGACTTCTTAGATAAAAAAACGTGCCTATTTGTTTATAAAGATTATTTGCTGAACATAAAACAGTTGTATAAACAGTTTTTGGACTGCTAAGTAATACATCTTCAAAAATTTTGAGTTCAACTACAATTTCATTACTTAAATAATGGCAGAATATTGGCACATATGCACAGAAGTTGTGAATAAATTTGCTAAATAATATTTATTTCCTATAGTTTGACATATCCTATAAATATTTGATTTCCAGTGTTAACTTCAATTACTAACACAGTATCAATTTAAATAATATTAAATATTTTAAATATGAAAATGTTGTTTTATGAAATGAAAATGTTGATTTTATTACTGTAAAAAATTTTTATTTAATACATAAAGTCCTAAAAATATTATACGTGTAAGAACCGGCGAAAACTAATTCTACCCTCGTCCTCTTCTATATATACATTTAAGACTTATATTTTTCTCTGTTAACATATTCAGATATATATTGTATAACATTTATGCCTTTTTCGCATTGGTAATGAATGTTTGTATTGGAGTTGAAGCAATACTTGTATAAACACCTGGATACGTTCCGCAGCCAGCTCCATATGAAACAAGTCCATATAATTTATTGTTATGTGTTAGTGGACCACCAGAATCTCCGAAGCAAGCATCCTTACCACTTGTAAATGCACAGAAATTTGATGTAGTTAATGAATAGTATTCGGAACATGATGTTCTGGACAAAGTACTAATATCAACAACACGCAAAACATTAGATTGAGTGCCGTCATCAGCTATACCCCAACCCCAAACCTTAGTAACAACGTTATCAGCGAGAGGTGTAGTGCCCAAAGCGATTGTAGCGATATTGGTACCAGTGAGTGCAGATGCTAAGTGTAACATTGCTATATCCATATTATAATCATCGGTGTTGTAGAGTTTTGATCTTATAATTTTAGTTACTTTGCGTCGAACACCGCCACTATTCAAATTAGTCGTTCCACCTAGAACTTGAATATCGGCGGCGGTGATACCAGCTACACAATGTGCAGCAGTAAGAACTTTATTTGTTTCAATCAATACTCCTCCGCATGCTGTTTGTCCGTTCCTTATTAGCTGTGTTATGAATGGAGCTTGTGATATTGTGGTAGTTGTTCCTCCTATGATTTTCGGGGCAACGGCTGCACATTTCACTTGTACAGTTTGAAATAGTCCTAAGACTAGTAAAACACCGCAAATAGAGCTTTTCAAAAACATTGTACCGTTCCAAGCTAATTTTAAGCAGTTACTGTTCAACGTTGTCTTTAGAATTGTGCTTTATAGGTACAACGTATACCTGGAAATTTGAAATTTCTAAAACTGTGCGAAATAATAAAAGTTTTTAAATTTGAAATGTTTTTGTGATTTCTTCCAGCTGTATAAATAATTTATAAACCAATTCATTTCTTATTTAGGTAATTATATTCTTTATGTATATATTAATAATATATATTTTATAATATAAAATAATTCTGTTAGTATTATAATATATTTATTTAATTAACTTGAATTAAGATCTTTAGGTATCTACCGAAACATTTATTATTACAATGTGGAAAGCAATAATTTGTAGTTATATAAACTAGTTTATTAGGGTTTAATATTTTAAAATTTATTTGATATATAATGATTTTTGATATATATCTCATATTCTATAGCTCAGAAGTATTTGTAGTTAATTAAATCAATGGAAACATCAGTATTCTCCTCGAATTTGTGATATTTTACTTTTATAAGACATTCATTTAATAGTTTGAACTTATTTGTACTTCTATTAGAGTTAATATCATTAAACATCTTTCCTACTTTAGAATTGCGGTCACGGGATCTCTATTTTCCGAAAAATAAAAAAAATTTGTGAAAGATATTTTAGTTATATTAAATAATCAATTATTAAAGATTATACTGCGAAGAATTCGTATCTGCGTAAAGGCTTTCTGACCTTTAGTTATATTTAGAGAAGTATCTAACATTTCTATCATGCTGTTTTTTGAGAAGACAACGTCGTTTATGACAAATACAACATAATTAATGGTTATAGATATTATGTTTCATATATAAAAAGTGCTTTGTTACAAGAACTTGTATCTGGAGTATAATCTTCGTCTGTCCTAAAAACTAAAAGACTAGTTTGTGCACAAGTATGGATATGACTAGATCTATCCCCTCATCTAGGTTATCTAAAATATAGTTTCTTCTTAGGCTTTATTTTCTTCATTGCGTTATTAAATTTTTTAACATTTTAGTGCCCTTTTCATATTATTTACCCTAAAAGTATAAAAGCAACTGATACTATATATAAAAATATTATGTATTCATAATATATATACTTAAAATTTTTTGTAGTGTTATTGTAATTAATAGAGAAGTTTTGATATATTCAGTTTCCAGTTTCGTGTTCATAGAGTAACATTAGCGTGACTTTCTATGCAAAATGTTCCTAGTTTAGGTTCCACATACAAGAAAGAATAATATAAAATCATGCTGAGAATAAGCTTTTACAAAAGAATAGTGTTAAAATTTTACAATTAAATTCGTTTATTTATCACGTTATAATAATAACACAGTAAGCGAACTCCCAGTTCAGTTGCCTAAAGAATACTCAGTCTGAGCTTTAAATCTGGTAGGGTACGAGTTGAACCTTTGGTGCTTGCCGTCTCAAAAAATTATTTATGAATAATCAAATATAAGTATAATTCCAACACCACTGACGATAGGTATGTCATATATGGCTATAGTCAGCCAAAAATTCAATTAATTAAAAGAAAATAAAAATTTTTGTTGTTACAATTCACTATTTTTCGAAACTTTTCTAATTTTTTTTATTTTTTTAATTATATTATTATTATATTATTCCTATTATAATATGAATATGATCATTGCAAAGTTTTTTACTTTTCGTATTATATACTGAATATTATAATGTAGTTATACCTATAAATGAACTTCACATAAATATCAATAATATTAAAGGAGTAAAAGAAGTAGCTATTTATATAATATAGATACTTATTTCAATTAAGAACACACCATTATGATATATTTATTCATTTATTAGATAATATATTTTTCCATGTTCACATGCTAGATATTTAAGTTACCTTCTTCTTCTACCAGCAGCAATGAATTTTTTAACTGGAGCTGAAGCAATACTTGTATAAACTCCAGGGTTTATCCCACAGCCCTTTCCAAGTGAAACAAGTCCATATAATTTATTGTTATGTACAAGTGGACCACCAGAATCTCCTTTACAAAAATCTTTACCATTTGCAAACGCACAAAACTTTGAAGGACTAAGTGAATACTTTCGAGCACATGTTGTTCTGGCCAAAGTTTTAAGACTAACCACACGCAATACATTGGAAGGAACACCAGATTCATCATAACCCCAACCCCAAACTTTAACAGCAACGTTATTTGCAAGTGGTTTTGTACCCAAAGCGATTGTTGCGATATTAGTACCAGTCAGTGCAGTTGTTAGATGTAATATTGCTATATCCATATGATGAGTTGTGGTACTGTATTTGTTGCTTATAACTATTCTAGCCACTTGTCGTACTATTCCACCAGTGTTTAAGTCAGTAGTCCCACCTCGAACTTGTATTCCTGCAGCTACTGAGCCGTATACACAATGTGTAGCGGTGAGAACTATAGTTGGTTCTATCAGTACACCTCCACATAGAGTAGATCCGAATCTAATAATCTGTACTACAAATGGTGCTTGTGATATTGTTGTTGTTGTTCCTCCTATGATTTTTGGGCTTTTGACAGCACATTTTACGTGTGGAATCGAAAATATTCCTAAGATGAATAATAAACCGTAGGTAAAGTATTTCAGAAACATTTTACCTTTCTTAGCTGATCTTCAGCACTCACTGATCGATGACTTTTTCAAAGCTACCCTTTATAGCAACTACGTAAATCTGATTTTAATTAATATTTCAAAATTGTATAAAATTATAAAAATTTCTAAATTTAAATTATTTTCGAGACTTTTTCCAACTGAATAAATAATTTTAAAACTAATTTATATCTTATTTAGGTAAATATATTTATTATATTTGTACTTTAACATATTATAATAAAAAAACGTCTATTTTAGTAATCTAATGAACAAGTATTTGAATGAATATTTGATATGAAGATTTAACACAAATTGTGGGTATTGTTACTTTGCCATTAAAAGAAGTTCAATCGTGGCATTATAATGTATATAGTACCATTGATATAATATATTGAAATTTTTTTCCAAAATTTAAATCAGTGACACTTGCAGAAGAATTTATATGGTGTATATTTCATAATTATTTAATAGATAAATAATTTTTTGGTGTTTTAGAAATATAATAGAAATGATGTTCCCAAATAAGAACATTCGTGTCTGCAATCTGAAAATATTTTAGATATAATATTATATACAAAATATTGGATTCAAAACAACAGAAATAACATTGTTGTGGTCTTACCAAAGTTCGATACCCTTTACACAGATATATTTGTTCCAAAACTTTTCATTTATTTTTAGTTCTGAAGAGGTCGCAACAAACAGTAACATTATTGTGCATTGTCAAGATTATACGGGGAATGTGTCGAAATTTCTCAACCATACTTTTCCGATTTTTGAGAGGTCATATAAGATTTGATCATTACCAAAATATGTTAGTCAAAGTTTTCCAATTTTTACCAGATCTTATAAGATATGATCATTACAAAAATATGACTGATTGGCACAAATTTGAATAACTGCATTGATCCGTGTAGTTTCTATGTAATTTTGGGGTTCGGTTATGATAAATTTTTTGTAAAAGAATTTTAAAGAAACTAGTAGTAAAAACTCAAGATTCAAGCTGCGGAAACTCTGCATTGCCATGATAGAAAACAACACTTTTTCTATTGATAAATTTCGAATTTTCTCAATGTCCTACTTTAATCGCGATCATAACATGAATAACAATATTATAACAACAATAACAATGGATAGCAACTTTTTAATCATTAAATTTAAGCCTTATTCATTTATAAGAGGATCCATTCAAGTAAGATTAGGAAGGTTATGTGTAATCTAGCGTTTGTATCATAAAAAAAAACTAGATTAATTCCGATTTTCTTTTTCAATATCCTTTTTTTAATCTCTATAATTATAGATAATAATCTTTAATTCCAATAAAGAGAGACACGAACTTTTAGCATTTGATTTAATCAGTAATTCCTATATTCTCCAAATGATTGGGTTACATTAAATGGCGACTCATGGATTAAATTTAGATTTACTAAACTTTTCATACCAGTTCCTGAGCATAGAACTGCTTTACAGTTCATTTTTAATTCAAAAATAATTAATTAATATTTATTAATTATTTCTATTCATCTATTGTATATATACTTGGATCGAAAACGAGTAAAGCATTTTTTAACAATTTGACAAGTATGAATCTGAGGATGATGGCCGTTATCAACATTTATTATTTGAAATTATTTAACCCCTTTTGGCCGAATGTCCTAATTAAACGCAAGAAGTTGGTTGACGATAAGAGGTTTCTTTGTAATATATTTAAACACCAATAGATAAGCATGTATGAAATCATTCTAACCATGTACGAGTATAAAATTAATAATTTACGTTCATGACTTTCTTATTCATTTATTTTTCTACATGTTTTTATTTTCACAAACTAACGTTTCCTACCATTAGCAATAAATGTTTGAATTGCAGATGAAGCAATACTTGTATATACACCTGGGTATGTTCCGCAACCAATACCATATGAAACAAGTCCATATAATTTATTGTTATGTGTAAGTGGACCACCAGAATCTCCGTAACAAGCATCCTTACCGCTTGTGAATGCACAGAAATTTGAAGAAGTTAATGAATAGTAGCGAGAGCATGATGATCTAGACGTAGTTTTAATATCAACAACACGTAAAACCTTAGATTGGGAACCAGAATTATCTATACCCCAACCCCAAACTTTTACAACGACATTATCAGCGAGAGCTGTTGTGCCTAAAGCGATTGGTGTGATATTAGTACCAGTTAGTGCAGATGTTAAGTGTAACATTGCTATATCCATATTGTAATTATTGGTGTTATAAAGTTTTGATCTCACAATTTTAGTTACACTACGAACTACTCCACCGCTGTTCAAGTTAGTAGTTCCTCCTCGAACTTGTATTTGACTGACTTTTGAATCAGATACACAATGTGCAGCAGTAAGAACTAAAGTTGTTGATATCAATGCTCCGCCACATATAACTTGCCCGTTCTTCATTAACTGTATTATATATGGTGCCTGGGATATTGTTGTTGTTGTTCCTCCAACGATTTTCGCATCCTTTTCGGCACATTGTATGTGTGGAATCGAAAATAGTCCTATAACGAACAAAAAACTGCAGATGGAGTATTTGACGAACATTTTACCTTTCTACACTGATCTTAGGCAGTCACTGATCGATACTTTTTTCACAGCTGCCCTTTATAGCAACTACGTAAATCTGATTTTTATTAATTTTTTTATAATTGTCTAAAAAAATAAAACGTTTTATATAAAAAATGTCTCTATGTCTCTACCAACTGAATAAACAGTTTGAAACCATTTTATATCTTACGTTGGTAAATATATCATTTATCAACACTTTAGTTAAATATAATAACGTCATTCATATCCTATTATTGTTTATTTGAATTAAATACATAAATTCTTTTCATCATTGTTTTCTGAAAATTAATAGTTGATGTTTAATTAACATAATTTTAACGATTTTTTAAATAAGATTTTGATGGAATTAATGATGACAGCATTAGGAAAATAACTACGTAAAGATGCGGCAATTCTTATAGTACTTTCGCTTTAGATCGTCAGTTATTTGTTATATGAAGCTAGACTTAAGTTTTTTTTGATTATTTTTTTAGATGTTATCGTACTTTGTGACTATTATCAAAAGTTTGCAGTATTGATTACTTCCAAATCCTAATTGCAGTGTAATTGTAATTTGGCATTTAGAATTTCAATTGTAATTGAAACACCAAATTCCAAATTACAAGTAATTGGATTATGTAATTTAAATGTAAGATAATAGTCTGTTATCACCTATGTTTAGTGGCCTTTTACACCTCGTAACTATAATTATAATGCAAACAAAATATTTAATATGCTATAATTGAAATGTTAATAATCCACAATATCCTTTACTATAGTATAGATATATAATATAGATATATAGTATAGTGTAGATATCACTTATAATATTTGTGCTAACAGCAACAGCTTTGTTACACTTTCAGACCATATGCAATATATGATCAATTTATCTGCATTTATTAATCTACCAACAACAAAGTATGATTACATACATACAGACTGAAAAAGGTCAATGTATAATTATGCTTCAATTTGGTGATAAACTAAGAGTCTGATTTGCACAAATAGAAAAAGGTACAACTCTATATTGATTCTGTAGAGTTGGTTTACATAAGAAACACAGAGGATGTCGTTCAGATAAAAAGTCATAAATTTTAGAGGCGTATACCTTATATTATTAAGTATATCGATGGAAAATTGAGCTGGGTGAATAAGATTATATCAAGATTATGACACCCGGTAAAATATCTTCGAGCTAGGGATAATAAAATGTTGTCTAAACGCTGGATGAGAAAAGATTTATAGATAGCGGAATTGGGATAGTATCTGCCATTGAGTCTGCGCTCGATCTGATGTCGGAATATTCACACTTTATATTCACACTAAGATATCAAACATATACTGCCGTTTTTATGGATTTAGATTATTTCTTCAAGTATAACTTTCTCGATATATTGTAGTATTCAACACCATTAATCTAGCCCTCATTTCTTCAACGAATATAAAATACCAATCTAGATATTTATTTCGTTTATGGGTTAGAATTACTTATTACACCGTCTGTAAAAAGTCAGATTAGCAAACATTTTTATTTAGAATTCAATAGATATTTTCTTTTAGTCAAATTTATTAAACAAATGGTTGCGTTTCTTAATTATGCAAAAGTTTAAGTAAATAAAGCTTTTTTAATTAAACAACTGATAAAATATAAATAAAGTAAATCATCAGACATGTATTCATATCAGTACTTGGATGATATCTATAAGGAATATAATTAATAAATAAATAAATACATAAATAAAATAAATTTCGGTCTGTTATTATGTCAATGCATATATATTTCTTTAACTATTCAGACTATATCAATTTCAAAATTTCAGATATTTGTTTCTGTTAAATGATACAAATTTTAAATATGATCAATGGCAGTTCTTATATTTTTAAATAAATACACGAAACGAAAATTGTTTTAAATAACTACCAAAATTAGATTGATTGATTTAGATTGGAATAGTTACAATAGTGAACATTTCTCTTTCTCTTTCATAAGTTCTCTCTTTCATAAACCATAGTTAAAGTACAGAAAAACTATTATGCAGTTTCAGAAATAAAATATACTTATGATTAAAATTTTGATATAATTTTTTTTTAAACATGTTAATGGAGCCTTGCCATTAGATGTAAAAAACAATATCATTGAATTATTTTCCATAGGATATCTTACAATACTGCATTCTTTTGATTTAACTTTATGCGTTATTGACACATAGCTGGCATCAAGTCGAAGCTCAACGGATGCTCACTTTCAAAAAGTAAAGAATTTAAAGATTTTTCGCATAAACTTGATCCTTGCGTAGCCCTACAGATTGCAAGATCTTGGATATGGGTTCATAACACCAAAACGTGAAATTAAAGGAGTAGAGTGGATTGTGGTATTATTCTCTTGAAACCATATACTTTTTATATCCTTATATTCAATATTACGTTGTTGTAGTGATCAGAATTGATTATTAGCTTAGTGTGAGCTTAATCCCTGCTTCCTGTAATCGCTGTGATTTGCTCAAGATATTTACTTGTAGATTACAACTGCACCAAATACAAAAAATTTTGTTTGTTAATATATCCACCAAAGGAGAAATAAGATAACAGTGCTGTTTGACATATGTCATTCAAACAGTGCTGCCAAGATAGAAATACAAAATTTGTTATATTTAGGTTAGGTTAGGTTAGCTTCTACCGGTGATTCTTAGGATCCACTAAGGCCTATTAGCTCATTTTATATTGGACCTTATAAGAAATTAAACGTTTAAAAATTGCAAAAGGTTGCAAAGCCTGAAATACAATTTAGAAGAAAGTCCTATAACTGGTACTCCGATCATATGTTGGACAGTAATAAAGCAGATGTGA